TAAAATACTATATTATTGATTGATCAGATTTTTAAAAATTTTTTAAAAATAGTTTATTGTCAAGTTGGTTTCCATATAACACCCAGTGCTCATCCCCACAAGTGCCCTCCTCCATGCCCATCACCCCCCTTCCCCTCTCCCCTACCCCTATTAGCCCTCAGTTTGTTCTCAGCATTCAAGAGTCTCTCATGGTTTGCCTCTCTCTCTCTGCCCAACTATTTTTCCCCTTCTCCTCCCTCACGGTCCTCCATTAAGTTCCTCCTAATCCACCTATATGTGCAAACATATGGTATCTGTCCTTCTCTGCTTGACTTGTTTCACTAAGCATAACACCCTCAAGTTCCATCCATGTTGCTACAAATGACCAGATTTCATTCTTTCTGAAAAGGATATGTTTCCAAGCTCACTCACGTAATTGGCAGAATTCATTTTCCCATGAATTTTTTCCCTTGGTGGCTGTCAGCTGGGGCCACCTTGTCATGTGACATTCTCTCCATATTACTGCTCTCAGCATGAACAGAATGATTCATCAAAATCAGCAAGGAAGAACACTCACTAGACATTTTCATCTGTTGTTATATAATAACAGAAGCGATCCTCTGTCATCTTTGACATAGCCTGTAGGTCAGAGGCAAGGCACAGGTCCTGTCCACACCTAGAGAATTATACAAGGGGTGAATATCAAGATGTGGTATAATTAGAGTCTGTTTTAGAGTCTGTCTGCCACACCAGGACCCTCAAAGAGGGATAGTTTTTGCACCATACATTTCACACCTGAAAATATAACTTAAGTTAAGCCAATGGAATGCAAATAAAATTGATATGAGCTTTAAGAATCCCATTTTGTGATTAGCCACCTTCACTACTCACCCCCCAAAACTAGCAATATTCCAGATATTCATCAGCCTGAATCCTGGATCTCACCCACTCTAGGTACAGAAAAGAAGAATTAAACTCTGTTGAAAGTCACTAAGATTGTAGAAAGGTTTTTAACGTTAGCATTTGGTTTGACTTGGGTGATGTTGGGCCTACAGGCTAGTTGACAAAGCCACCAGGTAATGTGGTAATATAACTGGGAGATTGGTGCAATATAGGATACACAGCTAGGTTGCATAAGCTGGTGTAGGAAGAAAGTTTTTGTGTGAGGCTGGAAAACAAATATCCTGGAAAAAGTTGAGGAAAGGATGAATGCAGACACTTCCCACTCTTTCTTTCTGGTACATGGAAAATGGGTACAATACTAGTATCCATTTTATTTTATTTATTTTTCTAGTATCTATTTTAGACAGGAAACCACAAGAAAAGGTTTCTCCTATTGGGAAACCTAGATTTCAGGTCAGAAAAGAAGATGAAGTTTTCTAATCTCAGAATTTCTGCCCCAAACCAGGCAGAAAACCCAAGGTATCAACAAGAGGCTTAAATATATAGGTTTCTTTTGGCTTTTGTGTCCAATCTGAATGTTAGTGAAAAGTTGTTTTTCTTTTTCTGCAATGTACAGTTCTTGATAATAGCTGTGTGGTGGTCAGAATCTTTTGATTCTGATTACACCTTTTGATCTTGGTGTAATCTGATCTAAATCTCTTATCTCCCACAGTAGAAGACTATTCTGTCAGGCTAACCTTTGTAAACATGCAGACAACAGTCAGGTTCTGAATGGGTCCTTAGATGATGATTCTTTGGAAAACCATGATATTGACTTTGATTGTGGCCTACATATGGTGATACTTTTAATACAGTCATTTGAATGATATATAGTCAGTGTTACTAATGATATGCTTGTTTTTAAATCTACCAACGTGCTATATATTTTGGGGGCTTTTGGGGGGGTCTTATTTAGTCTTATTTTGGAATAATTCAATAGATTTTTAAATTCTGTTTTATTTCTGGCCATATTCTTTTTTTTTTTTTTAACATTTATATTTTTGAGTCAGAGAGCAAGCGGAGAAGGACAGAGAGAGAAGGAGACACAGAATCTGAAGCAGGCTCCAGGCTCTGAGCTGTCAGCACAGAGCCCAATGCGGGGCTCGAACCGACGAGCAGCGAGATCATGACCTGAGCCCAAGCTGGACACTCAACTGACTGAGCCACTCAGGTTCCCCTAATTCTTGCTGTATTCTTAACCAAACATATATAGCATGCATCTTTAACTTGTTTCAAACTATGTTCAAGTCATATATCACTTTGGGTACTGATTAAGAATCATACAATAATATAGTTCCATTTACCTCTTCCTTGCCTTTGTAATATTCTTGCTGTGCATATTACTTATACATATGCTAGAAAAAAAAAACCTCACTACATTGTTAGTATTTTTGCTTTATTTTCTGAAGAGAGTTTTAAATGAAGGGGAAAATGTTATATTTATATCCTTTTCATTCCTCAAATAGATCCAGATTTCTACCTATCATATTTCCCTTGTGATTGTAGGGCCTTCTTTAGTCACATCTGCTGGCAATAAATTCCTTCAGCTTTTGTAGGTCTAAAGGTATCTTCATCTCATTTTTGTTTTTTAAATACATTTCTTGCTGAACCAATAATTCTGGATGAACAGTTCCTTCCTTCCTTACTCTCCTTCCCTTCCTTTCTTCCTTCCTTCCTTCCCTCCTTCGTCCCTCCTCCCCTCCCCTCCCTTTCCTTCCCCTCCCGCTTCCTTTCCTTCCCTCTCCTTCCTTTCCTTTCTCTTCTTTTCAAATTTTAGTACTATAAAGAAGTTACTCCACTGTCTTCTGGTTGCATTATTTCCATTGATAAGATTTATGTCATTCTTTTCCTTGTTCATCAGGACATATTTTTTCTCTTTCACAGCTATTCTCTTGTATATCCAATGTTCTTTTCTCCCCACTCAATATATCTAAATTAGGTCTTGTTGCCAGTCATGTAAGATTGATGAAACCACCCAACACTAATAAGACATTAAAGAAAACCTTATTATTTTTTTAAAAAATTTTTAAATGTTTTTTATTTATTTGTGTGTGTGTGAGAGAGAGAGAGAGAGAGAGAGAGAGAGAGAGAGAGAGTGAGCAGGGGAGGGTCAGAGAGAGAGGGAGATAAAGAATCTGAAGCAGGCTCCAGGCTCTGAGCTAGCTGTCAGCACAGAGCCCAATTCGGGGCTTGAACCCATGAACCGTGAGATCATGACCAGAGCCGAAGTCCGACGCTTAACTGACTGAGCCACCCAGGCGCCCCAAGAAAACCTTATTATTAACTCCAAACTCATCACATTGTATACACTAAATATGTACAGTTTTTGTGTGTTACCATACCTCAATAAAGTGGTCTTAAAAAAAAACACATTATTTTTCACTTCATTTCTCTTTTGCAAAGGAGTAAGATCTCATCACTACTTACTCTAAATCAGTATCAAGAGAAGAGAGTTCGACAATGACAGGACATAAGAAAGAGAAACAAAATGCATTGATGGCATCTTTTGTGCCATCTATAAGGTAAATAATAGATGACCTTACTTAATTCACCTGTCATCTTGGTGAGCAGTCATACTATCCACACTGTTTTACAACTGAAGAAAGCAGGACCCTGAGAGATGGAATGATCCATCTAGGGTGTACAATTAGTGACTTGCAGAGCTAGGATGTGAACCCAGGCATGCCAGTGGAAATCCTTATGCCCACAGCCTTAAGTAGGTGATGTTCATCCCTCTCCGAAGGTTGTTTTGGGCTGTAAGTACAGGTCAAGTGTCCATGAGTCACCCCCTTCTGGATCTCCAGTTCTCAGAGACCCTATGCCCTGCTCACCCTCTGCCTCCTTCGTCTCCTGTTCTCCTTTCATCTTCCTATAGCATCTACCTGGACTGCCAGAAAATCTCCTATTACCTGCATAAATCCTCTCAAGAACCCAGACTTCCCTAAGGTGTCTGAAGGGTCAAGTTTCATCTAAATAATTAGTTCAAAGACAAGGACTAACTAGGACTTAAACAAGTGTAGCAACGACCACATGCAGAGTATTGAGCGGGACCAGTTGGAGACAGGGCACTGTCACTCATTTAAGCTCTCTTGGCCTCAGATTCTTCCTGGCCTCAGAAATGGAGAAGGAAATAACCCTAGTCTGTTGAGGGCTCAGATCTGCCTGCTCTTTAACAGTTGTGACCCTTGGGCAAGTCTTTCCTCTCAGAGTCTCCTGCTTTCCACAGTGTTATGAGCCACAAGTGAAACTATGTCAATTAAAAGAGTATTTTGAAATCATGTGCAAAGTGCTAAATGGAGGTAAGCAGTTATTCTTCAACACATCCAACTGTATTGATTTGGACTGGTGATCCAGCCTGCCATGATATTTTGAAAAGGATGCCTAGCGATAGGAATTGGTTCTGTTGAAATGCACAAGAGGGGTGCACCTCTTACCCTCGGTGCACAACAGGAAAGGGGATGGTAGGCAGTGACTGGAAGGGAGCACTAGGGAGGATTCTAGGTCTTGGAAAAAAATCTAACATGGGTGCTAGTTTCACAGTATATGTAATGTGTAGAAATTCATTATACTGCCTACTGAAGGTATTTGCAGTTTCTGTCTGTGCATTATATTTCTTAAAAATGTGTTTTTAAAAATAGTGCCTGGGAATTAGTAAAAACTCCTGGAGGTCTTTGGAGACCTCCAAAGGCTATGGAACTGATAGGGTCCAAGCCTATATTTCCAAGGAGGAAAAGGAAACAACTAATATCTGGGTTACAGATGGGAATAAAGTGAAATTCGCCCTAAGGTGTATATATATACACATACATACATATGCTCTGCCAAATTCTAGGTAGAAAATAAAATTGTAGATTGTAGGTAGAAAATGAAAAGAATCAGGAGGGATCTAGTGGCCATGAAGACTGACAGGATCTGCTAGACTGGATCTTGGGGGACAGGGATCAGGTTCACCTTCCTTATTTCTGGCCCCCTCACGTTGCAGAACACGCTGCCACTGTTCCCTAGCTCTGTGATGCAGGCCTGGAACTCCAGGCTGGAGTTCTACTCTCCGTTCTCAGCTGCCTGGGGTAGCTGCACACTTTAGATGAGGGAGAACTTTGGCTGGCTGCTTCTGCATTTCAGTGAGTCCTGAGGCACTGGTTCCAGTACTTTTTGTACAGACTTGGGGTCACCTGTCTGTCTTGCTGCTGAATTCACTGGTGAATTCATTGATATATTTATGCCTGAAAATAACATTTGGAAAAAAAAAATAGAGACAACAGTCAGGTAAGGGAACTCTAGGCTCAGCCTACAAATGGGATTCACTTGACTCGTGTTTTTTCTTTTCCTACTCCCACTATTCTAAATGGATTATCGGAATGGAGAGATAACAGGAATGGGAATTCTCAGGAGAGCTCAGCACATCATTTGTCTAGGAGAAGAGACAAATGCCTTTGGGTAGGCAAAGAATATAGTGGAAACCAGGGTTTCTATTCAAAGTTCATGGACTGCCCACCTAGATGTGATACAAAAAAGTTCCAATCTAAACTTCTAAACACTGTGATTCATGAGCCATGGATTGGTTCGTTGGTTCATGGAGTTCAGGGCACCTGAGGAAAACAGGCCTTCATTACTTGCTCAGTAACTGCATTCCCATTATAAGTGTCTCCAACAAGCCTCTCCCTTGTGGAAATGCTGACCTGGAGAGCAATGCTGAACCTCTGAAAGCGTCTGGTACAGATTCTACTCATGGTGCAGAATCCTGAAGAATTAAGCATACAAGTTCTGGAAAATGTGAGTTTCTGTGCCCCTAAGTAGAGGACTACTGTCTGAAATATCAGTTGAGGACCATAGGCAGTAAATCATTCCTTAAGTTTACAAAGTAGAATCAGTAGAAAATATATCTACTTTAAAAATAAACAACATGGAAGTGATCTAGAAATCAGTCAACATAGCATGTCACTTTCCTTATTAATTAACGTCTGTTCCTTGCTTAGAATGAGGAGTGTAAGAAATGAATCCCCCTTCTCATTTTTCCCCCTGTCTTTCAGCATCACCTCAGTAGCAGGAAGAGAAACAAAGTGGAGGCTTTCATAGCTAAGATTTTTCTGCTCAACCCAGGCCTCCCCCATAGATAACCTTTTTTCTCTATTTATGAGGCCTCAGCTCCACAATTATTAGGATATTGGTTCCTAAATCCAGTCCTCACAAAACACAGTCCTCTGAGAAAAGCCTATTGGGAGTAAATCAAAATCTGGGACATTTCTAATCCTTTTTCTGTCTCTGTGCCCGCCCCCCCCCCCCCCCCCCCCCCACCGAATTGAACACGGATAGAGCTGGGCTACAGGTTGTGTGCATTGAACATGGATGGAGCTGGGCTATGTGTTGTGTGCATGGGGTGGCCTCGTGAGAGACAGCGATAATATACATTGTTTCAGTGGCAACATTTTAGGGCCTGGCTTTGTACGAGTTGTCAACTTCCCTAATATTCACTCGTCCTTTGAGAGAGCATCTGGCTTGGCAAGCTCACAGGGATGTTGTGATAATCAGCTAGGACACTGCGCATGGAAGCACTTTGCACATGACAACATTAGCCTTACTATTTTGTCCCCGACCTTTTGACATTAAGTTCTAATTTCGGGGCCTCTCAGTGTTGAATTTTGAAATAGTTTTTAAGTGTCAAACATTTTACAAATCCTCCTGTTTGATCTCTTGCTTCTTCCTTCAACTGAAAAGCTATTTTTCTAACTTGAGAGACTGTCTGAAAGGCACCAAAATGACACAAGCCCAACTTTCTCTTTGGAAATGATGAGTTGTCTCTTCCATTTTCCCATGTGTCTCTCTTCCTGGTTTGTTTCTTGGAATTCCAGGACTCTATAGTAGCCTGCGGATAGCATGAAACGGGGACTCCTGGAGAATGGAATGTGAAAAGAAGCCTTGGGTTGCTCTCAACCATGATAACAGGGGTATCATGAAGGCAGGAATTTCAAGAAACGTGACCTTTGCGAGGCCTGGTAGGCCAGGTCATCCCCATCCTGCTCCCAGATATCTTTTTAACCCCTTGTCTCTTACAGGCACCTGCACAAGCTCTCCTCTGAAGGTAGCTTTCTAGAGCAGTTAGAACAGGCTCCAGGCTCCAGAGAATATAAATGAGCAACCAAAGCAGCAGACCAGCCTGTTGTGACAGGAGCTGGGGGTGGGGGGTGGGGGGGATGCTGACTCTCTATCACCTTTGAGATTGACTGAGTTGTCACTCACGCTGGCCTCTCATTTCCCACTGGATTGGACCACCTTTCCTCTTTCCTTGTTTTTACCATCAACACATCAACACCATCAACAACAGAGTTACATTTAACACTGAATGCAACACTGTCCACACCACCTTCTTCCATACCAACTCCTCTCTTTTCTCTTCTTCCGCTAGAGAACACTCAGATACTAGACCCAATTTCTCAGCTAGACCCTCTTTGTCTTTAGACCTTAACTCCTCACCTTGACTCCAGACTTATGAATATATCTTTTCCCTTTAGCAACCCGTATTTCAAATACTGACTCCATAGCTGAGGCTACAAAGCCCCTTGGTTTTGTGTGTGTGTGCGTGTGTGTGTGTGTATGTGTGTGTGTGTGAAACCCACAAGCAGTTCAAGAAGAAGAAAGATTCAGTCCCTGGCCTGAATAGCTCCTTTCCTGCATGCTTACCTGTGGGTAAAGAAGCCCACACGGCCATGAGGTTATCCCTCTAAAATTGTGTTCACAGGCTCATGGGCTCAGGTTGGGGAAGACAGAAAACAGGACAAGAATCTTTTACCAACTTAAAAGACCCTGAAAATGCTAGGAGACTATTGGCTGGAGAAGATCAAATAGGTAATGTAGGATTGGACACTGTCTACCCCAGGAAGGCCATCCTATGCTCAGGGCAGCCTGTTAGAGAGTCCTTGGAATAAGTCATCTTACTACCCACCATAGGATCCACCAAAGAGTACTCAGAAAACAGGAATAAGTATGTTCCAGTGGTTCCATCCACTGCATAGAGATCCATGGCACAAAACCAAAACACTGTCAGCTTCTATGCAGAGTCCAGATCTATTAGAAATTAGAGCTGCCTCTCTGGGTAAAGGGGATATTGAAACTCAGAACAAGTCAGTCATTGGGCAGATCTTAAGGGGCAAAAAACCAAAATGGAATTATGTGCAGAATTAATGCAAGGAAAGAAAATCCATCTAAAGTGAAACCCAAGGCCCAAGTTTAGTTCAAAAATATATTTCCAGTCATTACCATGCCCCCTACATCCCTGAGGAAATGAAAGGGCTGAGGACTACTTCTTGACACCTTTAAGTGGATTCTTAAGTTGCTGAGTGCTCTAAACAATAACAGGCAGTCACAATCAGAATCCTAAAACCCATGAAAAATATGAGGCTCGAAAAGAGCAACTGTGTTTGATGGTCCTCAGGAACCCGCACCAAGGACGCCAAGTCCAACAAGCCACCCTCACTCCTGTCTCTGAGTGTGTGTTTCTAATGGCCAATCAAAGTCCTCCTCCAACCTCCACTGCCAGCAAAATTTCTCTCAAAGAAATGTTTCCATACAGTGAGAGAAAATTAATTGGTTCTCTCATTACTTCAATTCTCTGAAGAGGTTAGGCACAGTTTTTCATAATCAGAGTGTTCTCAAATATATTTGTTTCTACTAAAAGGAGAATGGTGTCTTTTGTCTCTGATACATTTGGAGAAGTTTAGAGTATCCCAAGAACTGAGGCTTAGAGAAATGAGGGGGTCAGTTTTATCTCTTTTTGAGAGCTGGCTTTGACTTCTTGAGGCTGAGAAGGGTTAAAGAGGGCCAGTGACAGCACCATAACTTAAGTCCACTACCATCTCTGATAGCCCCTTTTATCTCCCCAAGAATATTCTATTTAACTTTTTATTATAAACAAAAACAAATATATTCAGAGGCTTTAAAAAATGAGAAAAGCTGGGTGCCTGAATGGCTCAGTTGTTTAAGCGTCGACTTTGGCTCAGGTCATGATCTCCAGGTCCTACACTGGGCTCTGTGCTGATCATGTGGAGCCTGCTTGGGATTCTCTCTCCCTCTTCCCCTCCCCCACTTCCTTCTTGCCCAATGCAGAGCTCAATGCAGAGGTTGAACTCATGACCTAAAGCTGAGATCAAGAGTTGGACGCTTAGCCAACTGAGCTATCCAGGTGACCCTAGCACTGTTTTTAAATTTCGATTTCTAATTGTTTGTTGTTATGATGTAGATATACATTTGATTTTAGTATTTTGATCTTTCAAGGGAATTGTCCCTTTCATTCAAACTATCAAGTTTACTGGCATTAAGATGTTCATAATAATATTTTGTTATTATTTGGATGTCTGCAGAATCTGTAGTTATGTCATTTCTCTCATTTCTGATTCTGATTGTTTTCTCTCTTTTATCCTGATGAGACTGTGACTCACATCAATCTTCTCAAAAAGCCAGCTTTCACTTGCCTTTACAGTTGATCCTCCAACAACAAGGATTCGAATTATGTGGGTCTCCTTACACACATTTATGTTTTCAATAAATGCAGCACAGCACTATGATTCTTTATTTGGATTATTAACTATAACTGTTTAGTTATTTTAGTTTATTTAGCATTTCTACCATATACTTTCAGTTTGTCCCAATCTACCTGTAAGTAATATACCACTTCATGTATATGGTATGAGAACCTTACAATATGTTCATGATCATGTTTTGCCATTACATGACCATATGGCCCCTCTAATGACTGGTTTGGCCTACCTTTCATTGGTATAATTATGGATGGTGCAACCTTCTTCAGACAGCAATATCCAGGAGCTTACGAAGGATTTCCTTAGATAAGGAATCCTAAAGCAATATGAGACATTTGGTCAGGCTTCCTCTTGATCATCTCAACCAAATCCAGAGCCAGTATCTGCTGGTAATTTTCTGGTGCCACCTACAATGAAAAGAGAGTATCATTAATCAGGACATACCTCTCAAAGTACTATGTTTCTAGATGGTCCAATCTTAGAAGGCCAAAGTTTAGGGGGTTCACTGAATATGTAGCATCAGTGGCCTCCTCAATGTTCTTTATGCACTGGTTCTCTTAGCTTATTTAAAAACTCAGCCTGATTTCCATGTTTATGTGTTTCCAGAACAATTTTTAAAATTTTGTTTTTTATTTAGAGAGAGCATGACTGGGAGAGGGGCAGAGAGGGGGGGAGAGAGACAATCCTAAGAAGGCTTCACACTGTCAGCACAGAGCCAGATGCAGGGCCCAATCCCACAAACTATGAGATCTGACCTGAGACGAAATCAAGAATCGGATGCTTAACCAACTAACCACCCAGGTGCCTCATGTTTATGTGTTTTCAATCAGCTCTCATTGCCAAGATGTAGGATTGGTCCTTTCTGAACACCATAACTTAAGGATTAAGATAAAATTTTGAACAGTGATTAAGAAAGTTTTTTTAGTGCAGATTTTTTTTTTTTTTTGGTCAAAAGTGAAGTTTGGCTAAATAGAAGGCAATTATATGCTGCCTTTGTGCAGGCATCACAATCATGAACTAGCTCAAAGCACAGTTTAGAAGGGAGAGCAAAGCAGGAGAGGCAGCACAACACAGTGGTAATAAGTATTGACTCTGAAATCAGTATACCTGGGTTTGAATTATGATTTTTGATAAATGAAAAAGAAGCTCTTTTGTTTGTTTGTTGGATATTTTGATTTTTCTGTTAGGTATAAAGGAAAGGAGCTAAAAATAGTTTTCTGTTTTGTTTTGATGATAGAAAAATGTGTGCTGACCGTCAAAACAGCTTTCCTGCTTTAAAATATTGCTATCAGCCTTTGTGTGAAGATGTTATCTTGTTTAATCTGGTGAAAAGAATCTAAGAGGCTGGGGTCACATGGCATACATTGATATGGTAAAGAGGTAAGTCATGATGGGTGTGTTGTCTATTACCATAAAAGTTATGAAGCTCCTGGTGGTGTGAAACAGGTATAGTCCTTCAGGAGACTGGAGGTTTCCAGATAACCATCTAGAGGATTGCCTAAGATCTCTCACGAATCCAGATTTGCATGAGTAAGTGCTAGGCAGTAACTGAATGCGTTCCTAGAGAATTCTGTGATCTTTCAGTTTCATCGACTCAGAAATACATTATTTCCCTGTGGCAGGAATGTTTCAAAACTTGTAATCCACTTAAAGCATAAGCTATTAGAATGTAGAATCCTCAGTTCATATCACAATATGATGCACTACAGGAGGTCCTCATTAAAATGACTGAATGGGTTCTTCTGGGGCTACTACAGATAAGGACTCAAACATCAAGTCTTTCACGGCACAAAAGGAGGATGAAATTCCTAGTTGTAACGATATGAGTATAAATGATGTTGACATGGCTATGCCTGGTGGGTAAACATTATGATATAGAGCTGGCAATGAGAAAACAAAAATGACATCTAGAATATGAAATTAAGAATCAACGTGGTGAAGTATGTCAACGATTCATCTGCAAAGTGGATTACCTTGGTGACCTTGTTACAAATCTGTTGTCCATATATGTATGGTTTGGTTTCTAGACTCTATCCTGTTCCATTGGCCTGTCTATTCTTACATCAATACCACAGCCTTGATTTATAACTTTATAAACCTTGAAATCAGGTAATATGACTCTTCTTTTTTCCTCCCAAAGGTATTCTGTTTATGCTAGGTCTTTTTCATTTCTATATAAACTTTTTAAAGTTTATTTGTTTACTTTGAGAGAGACAGAGATAGTGTAAGTGGGGGAGGGGCAGAGAGAGACAATCCCAACCAGGCTCCACACTGCCAGTACAGAGTCCAATGTGGGCCTTGAACCAATGAAGCCGTGAGATCATGACCTAAGCCAATACCAAGAGTCGGACGCTTAACCAGCTGAGCCACTCAGGCGCCCCTCCATATAAATTTTTGATTCAGTTTGTCAATTTCTACAAAAATGCCTGCTGGAATATTTTTGTGGGTGATTTGATTGAACATACACATCAGTTTAAAGGGAGTTGATACTTTAACACCAAATCTTTTCATCTGTAAGCACACTGTTTCTCTGACCCTTTGTAAGGGTTATTTTTTCCCCTAAGTTTTTATTCAAATTCCAGTTAGCATAGTGCAATATTAGTTTCAGGTGTATAATATAGTGATTCAACACCTCCATACAACAGCCGGTGCTCAGCACAAGTGCACTCCTTAATCCCATCACCCATTTAACCCATCTTCCCATTTACCTCCCTATTTACCTCCCCTTTGGTAACCACCAGTTTGTTCTCTATAGTTAAGAGTCTGTTTCTTAGTTTGCCTCTTTTCCCCCCTTTGCTCATTTGTTTCTTAAAATTCCACACAAGAGCCACTTATTAAGTCTATTAGTTTTTTTGTAGTTTTTGAGATATTCTATGTAGAAGACCATGTCTGCAATAGAGACAACTGTATATCTTCCTTTCCCAAAGGTGTCCTGCACCCCCACTGCCACCTTCCCTTTCTTGCTTTCCCTATTGCACCAAGATCACCAGCACAATGTTCACTAGGGAGAGCAAAGCAGAGATCTTTGACTTTTTGCCAAAAGAAAAAAAAAATACTTTGGGGCAAGCATTTAGTTTTTCACAACTAAATATGATGACTAGATTTAAAAAAAAAATAGATGCCCTTTAACAATTGAGGAAGCTGCCCTTTATTTCTAGTTCACTGAGTTTTTGCTCCAAATAGATGCAGAATTTTTGTCAAATCATCTTCCTGTATCTACTGAAATGATCACATGGTTATTATTTATTTTTTTAGGCTGCTGATATGATGAATGACACCAATTGGTTTCATATATTGGACCAACCTTGCATTCTTGAGTTAAGCTCTATTTGGCTGTGATGTACTTTCCTTTTAAACTATTGCTAAATCTGATTTGCAAATACTCTGTTGAGGATGGCTATGGTCTATGTTCAAGAAAAACATTGGCCACCAATTGTTTTTCTCTTGTAATGTCTCTGGCTTTAGCATCATGGTAATGCCACAAAATATGTCAGAAATCCTTTTTTATTTAGTTGTATTCAAATCTTTTGAAGATCTTTTAATTATTTGTAGATTCTGAAGTGATACTGTTTCCTTTGATTGCTCGCTATGGATATTTATACCTTCTTTTTCTTTGTATTGCCATGGGATTAATGATATTTTTAACTAATGTTTTGTTGTCCTACTTTGTTATTTTCCATTTTTTTCATCTTATTTTTGTCACTTCCTTTTTTACTTTCTTGTAGTTCACAGTATTTTTTTTATTCTAACCAATTGAGTTGAATGCTTAGATATTTTCAGACTTTCTTCTTGCCTGATTTGTACTTACTGCAGTACATTTCTCTCTATTACAGGTTTAGGTGGAACTGATTTTGTGAATAGTATGCAGTAATTTATGTCTTCATTTTCTGGTTTTTTAAAAATTTTTTTTTTAAATTTATTTCTAGGAGAGAGAGAGAGAGAGAGAGAGAGACAGTGTGAGCAGGGGAGGGTCAGAGAGAGAGGGAGTCATAGACTGAAACAGGCTCCAGGCTCTGAGCTGGCTGTCAGCACAGAGCCCGACGCGGGGCTCGAACCCACGAACCGCGAGATCATGACCTAAGCGAAAGTCGGACGCTTAACCGACTAAGCCACCCAGGCGCCCCTTCATTTTCTGTTTTACCCATATGGATAACTGAGCCAGAAGCATTTACTGAAGTACAACTTTTCTCCTACTATTCTACATTGTCATATTTGTCATAATTCAAATACCAGTAGGTAATTATGTTTCTGGATTTTCTTACCATTTGTCTATTTGATCACCTGTGTACAATACCTCATTGTCTTAATTATTAGCACTTTATGGAAAGTCTTAGTCTGGTAAGTTCTCCAAATTTGCTCTTCAAAAGTATCTTGACTATTCTCACCTTTTAACATTTCCATATGTAATTCTGTAACTGTAAAAATTCTGTAAAAAGAAAGCTTATTGGGGTTTTGCTATAAAATGTATTGAATACCGTGGGAACTTGACCTTTATTGAAGGATGTTGAAGGATATAATCATATGTCCTAGATCTGGTGCCATGGGCAACCATAGGAAGAGGTACTGTTAAAACTTATGAAGAATAGACTATCAGAATAAGCCTGATATAGATTTAAGCAAAACAGGACATGAGAGCAAGCTCCATTAACTGCTGATAAAAATGGAGTATCTGCCATTTACTAACAGTAGGATGATTCTTAACAACTGTAGCTATAATTCCATATAATAGAACCAAAAATCCACACAGAAATTTGTAGCCAGTTGCTGGTTACCTGCATGCCATCTGGTATTTTGTTGTTGCAGCTCAATAATAAAATAAGCTAACTCTATGTTTATGAACAGGCTTACTCCTTTGGATTTCAATTTTTATTGAAACATCTCCCAAACAATATATAAATCACTTTGGGGGAAATACACATCTTTAATATTGAGTCTTTCAGCCAAAGAAATTTGCTAAGTCTCTCAATTTACTTTATTAATAAGCTTTAATTTATTCAGTAATGTTTTATAATTTTCTATATAGAAGTTCTATAGTCCATGATTAGACTTACTTCAGGGGTTTCATATTTTTTATACTAATGTAAATGCTATCTTTAAATTTTCACTCTGCTGCCTGCATGTAGAATTAGTTTTCTTTTTAATATTAAAACTATATAAAGCAACTAAACTCCTTTATTTCTAATATTACTTATTACTTTTTCCTTTCTAATCTTATGCCCATTTTCCTATTCTTGCTTCATTGCACTGATCAGCTCCTCTAATAAAATGCTCAGGGAAAAAAAAGTATGGTGAAATATTAAATCAGTAGGTGCTGAGTCTAAATTTGGATGTTTATAGAAGCCCATTATCGATCAACAAGGTTGCCTGGAGGTTTGTGACAGCAGAAGATCAAATGGGAGGCCTGTAAGGTAGGAATTATGAATCTTTGTTATGTCTACATAAGTTCTATATCTGTCGCTATATAGAACACACTCTCCATTAAGCTTCTATGTATTCCTGACATGATCCTTTTTTTTTTTGGTCCTTTTAATAATTTTATCTATTATCTGTTTTTTTTCGTTCTTCTCATGCCTTCGTAAGGGGATCAGTTGGGACCTCTTCCATGAGAAAACCTGAGTAGCTCAACCCAAAAGATGTACTCCCAAGCCTTCTTTCCCGGGTCTGAATGGTCAATTATATCTGACGACAGTGTTCTCAGCTCACTGTTAATAATGAGACCAAGAATTTGCCCACACAGACTAGGAATTTCCCACATCTATGTTAGGCATCCCCTGCAAAGGTTCTCACCTAGAGGGTCCCCATCTTTTCACAATGGACAGTTCACACATTGAGGAAGAGGATCCAGTGTGCATGAAATGTGAAAGAATCAAGTGGAAACTATATAAAGAACTATGTGAACATAAGTATATGGACACTCCTTCGTGCCAGTAATACTCTTGTGCAGAATCCTCTAGCAAGGGTCCTCATCTAAAGCTGCTCATGCAGGAAGACAGAACCACAGCAAAGACAGGAGGTATTTTAGAAATATCAAGTTCTTAAACCTGTGGCAGACATAATTTCTCATCGCAAGAGTTTTGCTCTACCAGTGTTCTTTGTTCCCAGGGAAAATCATTGGGGCTGCAGGGCAGGAATCAGAAAAGAACTGAAGAGACATTAGACAGGATCTTTATGTGTAATCGCCAGTTTATAAATGTATGTAAAGAATAATAAAGTATAATAAAATGTCACTTTAATATACCAAGAATCAAGGCCACTGGGGTAAAAAATAGTCAAATGAACAGTCATGGGAATGGGTTATCAAAAGCAGAGTGCCTGAAATGCAAAGCAAGTTTAGATGTAGCTTTTACATATTAGTCTTAGCATCCAACTGCACAGAGATGAAAGACAAAAAGGAATAATAAATGAAAACGTGCTCTTCGTTGTAGCTTTTTTTTTTACTGATAAGAAATTCAGATGGGTGAAGTAGGCTTGTTTGAAGTTACACAATCTGCAAATAGCTGAACCAGTATTAGAACACAAGACCATCTGGTCCGGTACCAAGGCATTTCCACAACACCAAATGGGAAATATGGTCAGGAAGCACCAATTTCAAGGTCCAGGATCCTTCCAGAGAGACAGGTGAACTTATATGACTGACATGGTAAGACACATAAACATCATCTGATCCACCTCTCTTTCCATCTTTGTACAAGAATTTTACATGTATCTATAGGAGTCATGCTAAGCCCCTCCTTACAATGTAGTTTCTAGGACTTTATTTTAATCAAGCGTTCTTCATGTCCTTTACAGGGAATTACTGTATAGCCAAAAGTATGCCAATCTAATATTAGCTATTTCACAATGTCTGGTTATTATTAATGGCTATAATAAAGAGTATGTAACTTGACAACATTCTATATACATAACTTTAAAAGTTTTACACACCATGTTGAAAATGTTCTTCATTTATGATTATTTTCCAACATCTTTGCTGAGCTGGGTATCACCACACTACAGATATGAATTCTCTTGTGAACTGTTACCTATAAAGATGTCCCATAAATATCAAATCAATCAGGTTCCTAGTATTTATTAAGGCTTGAGCTAATACTGGGCTTTTCTGCATTCAGTTCATTATGATTTTACCACCGTATGAATTCTCTGATGGACAGTGAGCTGTGACTTCTGGATGAAGGCTTTCCCACAGATAGCACATTGATATGGTCTTTCTCCAGTATGAATTCTCTGATGTAAAACAAGGTCTGACTTCTGGGAAAAGGCCTTTCCACATTCAGCACATATGTAAGGTTTCTCTCCTGTATGAATTCGCTGATGCCCTGGGAGGTGGGACTTCTGAGAGAAGGCTTTCCCACATTCACTGCATATATAAGGTTTTTCTCCTGTGTGAATTCTCTGATGTCCAATGAGATGTGATTTCTGACAGAAGGCTTTTCCACATTCGCTGCATTTATAGGGTTTTTCTCCAGTATGTGTTCTCTGATGAATGATGAGCTGTGACTTCCGGGAGAAGGTCTTCCCACATTCAGTACATTCATAAGGTTTCTCCCCAGTATGAATTAACTGATGTGTAATGAGTTCTGTCTTCCTGCTGAAGGCTTCCTCACATTGAGCACATTTGTAGGGTTTCTCCCCAGTGTGAATTCTTTTATGTATAATGAGGTGGGACTTCTCGCAGAAGGCTTTCCCGCATTCAGTACATTCATATGGCTTCTCTCCAGTATGAGCTCTATGATGTATAATCAGCTGTGACTTCTGGGAGAAGGCCTTCCCACACTCTCTACATTCATAAGGTTTCTCTCCAGTGTGAATTCTCTGATGTATAATGAGGGGTGATTTCTGGGAGAAGGCTTTCCCACAGTCACTACATTCATATGGTTTCTCCCCAGTGTGAACTCTCTGATGTATAATGAGGGAAGATTTTTGAGAGAAGGCTTTTCCGCATTCAGAACATTCTTAAGGTTTCTCCCCAGTGTGAGTTCTCTGATGTACGATGAGATGAAACTTCTCACTGAAGGCTTTCCCACATGCACCGCAATCATATGGTTTCTTTCCAGTATGAATTCGTTGATGTACAATAAGCTGTGACTTCTTGGCAAAGGCTTTTCCACATGTAACACACACGCAGGTTTTCTCCTTAGTTTCAACATTCTGATACTGAATAAGGGACTGTTTACTACTAAAAATGTTCCCACACTGATTGTTATTACAGGGCATTACTCCATTGTGAATTTTCTCAAGATTAGAATCAGATGCACTATAGCTAGATGATTTTCCACATCCAAAACTCTCATCAGGGTTTTTTCTTGAATTGCTTTTATTACAACTATGTAGCTCAGTATTATATTTCAAGTTCTTTTTAAATACATCGTAGCTATGGGATCTTTGTCTTAAAGTATCTGGCTCTAGGCACTCTTGAAATATTTTTCTCAAAGCATTGTATTTATGGCCTGACTCCACAGCCACTGTTTTGTTGTTGATGACTGTTACTTGCCTGAAGAGCTTGTCTCGGTTTTCCTGACATCTCTGCAGCTGCCCATCATCTTGACAGACTTTTAAAATGGAGTACAATGAACCATCCTTTGTGACTCCTCTCAGGATATTATTACAGAAGGAAACAGACCCCAAGATACATGATTTGGGGTTGTCAAGGTTACTTTTCCTGTCTAAAAGAAAGAAAGGTAAAATAAAACAATTATAAAGAACAATTACTATAATGCAGAAGAATAGAACAAATGATTAATCCAATGTAGTTGATGAAGGCAGAACACAGGGATGGAGACAGGCCATCTCGTAAGACAGGTCCCCATAAAGTATGATCAGATGAATGGATGGAAAAGGATGTTAAAGAGAAAAATTAGGCCTGAAGAAGATAGAAAAGTATCTGGGTCATTATCACTCTAAGGTTGGATTATTCTTCTAGAATATTACCATTTCCCCTGCTTTCTGAATGGAAATCCTTTTCACTTTCTGAATTAATTTACCTTATAAACCATTTGCTACATATATACCTAACTATTATTTTCTTGTGACCATTATCCAAAGACACAAGGTCCCTTCTGTACTTGAAATACTATAACTCTCCTCAGTCTACTTTCTTAATTAAAAACTAACACAAATAACAGAAAAACCCAAGATCCTGCTATGGATTCAGTATCAGATTCACACCAAGAACCCAAGCTTATATTCCACTACTTCCCATAACACCTTCCATATATACCAATGAAAACTAGCAAAGTTCTCCCAGAAAAGCCTTCATTTTCTAACTTCAAGGTTCTGTTCATCTCTCTGACCACCACAGTCTGCCTTCACCCTCCTCCTTCAGCATCACCAACACTTAGTATCTTCCAAAGCAGCTACAGCTGCATGCTCTGAAAAACACCTTCTCAAATTCTGCTGCAGCTTTAGACTCTCATTTTCTCTGAACTTTTAAAATGGTAACTATATAAGACACATAATTTTGTACCACCATGTGTCTGGAGATCTTACCATGTAAAGTTCAATCTATGTTCTTGCAGGGAATTTGCCCATCAACAAGAAAGAAGATAAATAAGAAACAGCTCCCTCTTGGGGCGCCTGAGTGGCTCAGTCGGTTGAGGTCCGACTTTGGCTCAAGCATGATTTCACAGTTTGTGGGTTCGATCCCCACATCAGGCTCTGTGCTGATGGCCTGGATCCTGGAGCCTGCTTTGGATTCTGTGTCTCCCTCTCTCTCTGCCCCTCCCCTACTTGTGCTCTGTCTCTCTGTCTCTCAAAAATAAATAAATGTAATAAAAAAAAAGGAATAGATCCCCCTTATAAAGGTTCACAATTATTTAATTAATTATTTGTCAAATGCCTACTAATTCTCAGCACAGGAACAGACAATAAGAAATCAGCATCCCTCCTCATCAGGGAAATACAAATCAAAACCACACTGAGATACCACCTCACGCCAGTCAGAGTGGCTAAAATGAGCAAATCAGAGAACTCTAGATGCTGGCGAGGATGTGGAGAAACGGGCACCCTCCTACACTGTTGGTGGGAATGTAAACTGGTACAGCCCCTCTGGAAAACAGTGTGGAGGTTCCTCAGGAAACTAACAATAGAACTCCCTTATGACCCAGCAATAGCACTGCTAGGAATTTACCCAAGGGATACAGAAATGCTGAGGCATAGGAGCACATGTACCCCAATGTTCATAGCAGCACTCTCCACAATAGCTAAAACATGGAAAGAGCCTAAGTGTCCATCTACAGATGAATGGATCAAGAAGATGTGGTTTATCTATACCATGGAATACTTCATGGCAATGAGAAACAATGAAATCTGGCCATGTGTAGCAACATGGATGGACCTTGAGGGTGTTATGCTGAGTGAAATAAGTCAGGCAGAGAAGGACAAATATCATATGTTTGCACGTATAG